ATATATATATATATAGTATATATATAAAGAGAAAGAACAGAGACCAGACATTATGCGGACCTAAGACGTATTATACCTGCATTTGTGACGTAATGTTATCTAGGCATTATTTAGCCAAGTGTTCCTAGTATTTCAAAGAAAAGAAATGCACAGGACATGAATGACGTTATTATATGAAACTAAGAATTGAGACGTTATAAATCAATCAGATGCCCGTATTCATAGCCAATCCTTATATTTAATGCTTGGTTTATGCTTCGGTCTTAACCCTAAAATTCTAGAATTCAGCCCAGTTCTAATTGATCCTAACTGAAATCTGTATTCCATTGGCTGAACCACAGGCATTAGTCTTTCTTAAATTTATCTTCAGATGCTCTTATTGACTACTGAATACCTAAAGATAAACTTAAACTTAAGAAAGCTTTAAATATAAGGCCTGATTATGAACGGGCAAGAGAATAGCATTAGTATCTTGAGACATTATCTAAAACAGCCTTAAAATAAAAACTAAATACCGGTCACAGAATCGTATTAACATCTTTTAAGACATTACTTGATTGTAAAATAAGAACGGACTATGAATAAACCCCGATCTGTGTCAGCCAAACCCAAATTAACAGGAACATTATATCAATATTATAATTTCCCACTTAATACAAATGTAATAACATATATTATGTATACACAACAGATACATTGTTGAGCAGAGCATTATATTGATGTAATGTTACTGCAAGTTTCAACAGGAAGCTGTTAGAGAAAACAGCTATGCCGCAAGGAGTTGATGAATTATCGATTCCTGACTACCGACATGATTGTTTCTGTACAATCAATGACCGCGTTTATCAGAGAAAATTAATTAGTTAGCGTTTAAGTGATTCTTTAGTACGATTAGTTTCTGCCTTTAGTCCTTTGCTGGAGTCCTACCTGAACACCTAAGTGTAGGAACCAATCATACTAAAAAGAATCACTAAACGCTAACTGATTAGTTTCTCCGCTAGAACGTAGCCAATGCTATCTATTAACGAGAGTAGTTTTTATCGAGTTGCATTCGATTCGACGAATACTCCAATTAGTGTCCCGATATCATCGTCGATCCATTGGTTATCCGCTCGAGGCTCGCGTGTACCTCCGCCCCTGCTCGCTCTTTCGAGCGCCCGCGCCAGTGGTGGTTTACTCGCTCGGCGTCAACCCGCTTCCCTCCGCCTGCCCCTTACCGAGCGCGTTTTCTCTCTCGCGTGCGCGCGCGCAAGAGACAGGCTAGGCTAGGCTAGGCGAGGCGAGGCGAGGCGAAGCGACGCGTTGTCCGCGCCGCGCGCGCGGAGCCGCGCGGAGACGCGCTGATTGTGAGTCGAATCGAGTCGGGTCGAGCCGCGCCGAGCGGTGCCGAGCGGGACCGAGCACCGGGGTCGAGCGGAGCCGAAGGCCCCGCGGTGGCCGCGACGCGCGCGAGTAGCACCACACCGCCGGAGCGTGTGTGTGCGTGCGTGCGCGTTTCTCTCCGCTTTACTACTTCAGTACTCCGCTCCGTTTTCCTCTTCGCTCGTACTCTCCTCTGCCCGGCCGTCCGGAGCAGACACGGAGAGCCGAGAGAGGATAGAGTCTCCCCGTTATTGTCCTTGGCGCGCGTCGTCAGCGTCGAACCGTCAACATCAATCGTAATCGTCGTCATTATTGTTTGTTATCTCCGTTAATCGCCGTCTACGTATATCTTGCCGCGTGTGTACGCCGCGTCCTTCCCTACTGGCCCGCGCGCGTGCATGGACGACACGCGCGCACGAGCCGACGAGGATATAGCCCTGGATTCGTCCCGTTTACGCTCGTCCGCTCGGCTCGGCTCCGCCGCGAGCATCGCCGCTGCCGCTGCCGCTGCCGCTGCCACTGCCACCGCTGCCTCCGTAGCCACTACCACCACCTCCACCACCTCCTCGACCGCCGCCGCCACCTGCCGCGTCGCGAGACGCAAGAAGAAGAAGAGGAGGCGTCAGCGACTTGTTACGAGCAACGACGACGTTCCTGGCGTCGCCGTCGTGGTCACCTCCCGCGGCGTTACCACGTCAAGTAGTAACGTCGCCGTAGCCGAAGACAACACCGCGACCGACGTCGCCACC